TTCCCTTTCCTACGAAGGCTTACTCCTACCCTGGATTCTGAGCAACGGAGGCTCCTACTGAAACCGCTACAGTCCTGTTCTTTACTTACCCAGAAACAGCTTCCGAGACACTCGCCTCGCGCAGCTCTCGCCTCGCAACAGGAAAGGGAAGAAAGAACCGGAAGTAGGAACTGCACCTGAGCGACAGTACTGCCAACCAATAGGCAGCCGGCCACGGCGGCCAGGCGCCTTCGGACGTGTCTGGAAAGCACCAACCAACGATCTAAGGGGTGGGCCTGAGGGCTGTGGGCCCGAGGGCCGCGGTGTTCCGCGAGCCAGTTGCGGGTTGTCAGAACGGTCGCCGCCCAAGTGAGTCGAGGCTGCATTGCTCAGTCCTGGCCGTCTAGGGCCCGCGTAAGGATGAGAGCGCAGAGGACGCAGGGCCGCTGGAGGCGCAGGTAACGAAGCTAGGGTGCGGTGGGGCCACAGCTGGGCTTCTTCCGGGAGCTGTGATGCTGAATGGAGAGGACCGAGACGAAGCCGAGCCGCGGCTCCTAGCGGCGGCGCCGATGCCCGAGCTGTAGCTGCCAGGCGAGGATGTGTGGAGCGCAGGCGGCGCCGGGTAGCTGAGCGCCCTAGGGCCCCAGGACCCCCGGGGCCTGGGATGAGTTAGCGAGGGCAGCCGCGGGGGCCAGTTCCGACCGCGACAGGCCAAGGCGACGGCAGCCGCCCGCCCGCCCCTTCCGTGCAGAAGCCGCTACTCCTTTCCGCGCCCGCCCGCCCGCCCGCGCTCCCGGCCCTGGAGACCATGAGGTTCCGCATCTACAAACGGAAGGTGCTAATCCTGACGCTCGTGGTGGCCGCCTGCGGCTTCGTCCTCTGGAGCAGCAATGGGCGACAAAGGAAGAACGATGCCCTCTCCCCGCCGTTGCTGGACGCCGAACCCCCGCGGGGTGCCGGCGGCCGGGGCGGGGACCACCCATCTGTGGCTGTGGGCATCCGCAGGGTCTCCAACGAGTCGGCGGCTCCCCTGGTCCCGGCGGCCCCACAGCCCGAGGCTGACAACCTGACGCTGCGGTATCGGTCACTGGTGTACCAGCTTAACTTTGATCAGACACTGAGGAATGTAGATAAGGCTGGCACCTGGTCCGCCCGGGAGCTGGTGCTGGTGGTCCAGGTGCATAACCGGCCCGAATACCTCAGACTGCTGCTGGACTCACTTCGAAAAGCCCAGGGAATTGACAACGTCCTCGTCATCTTTAGCCACGACTTCTGGTCGACTGAGATCAATCAGCTGATCGCCGGGGTAGATTTCTGTCCGGTTCTGCAGGTATTCTTTCCTTTCAGCATTCAGTTGTACCCTAACGAGTTTCCAGGCAGTGACCCTAGAGATTGTCCCAGAGACCTGCCGAAGAATGCAGCTTTGAAATTGGGGTGCATTAATGCTGAGTACCCCGACTCCTTCGGCCACTATAGAGAGGCCAAATTCTCTCAGACCAAACATCATTGGTGGTGGAAGCTGCATTTTGTATGGGAAAGAGTCAAAATTCTTCGAGATTATGCTGGCCTTATACTTTTCCTAGAAGAGGATCACTACTTAGCCCCAGACTTTTACCATGTCTTCAAAAAGATGTGGAAACTGAAGCAGCAAGAGTGCCCTGAATGTGATGTTCTCTCCCTGGGGACCTATACTGCCAGTCGCAGTTTCTATGGCATGGCTGACAAGGTAGATGTGAAAACTTGGAAATCCACAGAGCACAATATGGGTCTGGCCTTGACCCGAAATGCCTATCAGAAGCTGATCGAGTGCACAGACACTTTCTGTACTTATGATGATTATAACTGGGACTGGACTCTTCAATACTTGACTGTATCTTGTCTTCCAAAATTCTGGAAAGTGCTGGTTCCTCAAGTTCCTAGGATTTTTCATGCTGGAGACTGTGGTATGCATCACAAGAAAACCTGTAGACCATCCACTCAGAGTGCCCAAATTGAGTCACTCTTAAATAATAACAAACAATACATGTTTCCAGAAACTCTAACTATCAGTGAGAAGTTTACTATGGTAGCCATTTCCCCACCTAGAAAAAATGGAGGGTGGGGAGATATTAGGGACCATGAACTCTGTAAAAGTTACAGAAGACTGCAGTGAAAAAAATCTCAATTACAAAAGCAAAAGTGACAGTCTTCTATTTTTGATATTTGTCCAAACAGGATATACAATTGAACAAAAGTTTAGGAACTGGTTTCTGCTTTAATAAAAAAAAATCTTGTAAAAGGTGTCCAAATACATAATAATCTTCTCCAGTTATGTCTGATTAAGATTTAAAACTGAAGGTTTCATTTTGGAAGTAGGGTTTTAAAGCTCAATCTGTATCTGCTAAAAATGATTATTGTTGATTGATAGAAGAGGGGAAATTTTATTTAAATTGCATCTATTAATCTTTTTATCTGAAACTTTGTACACTTTTCCACTTTCAAAACCTATTTTAAGTACAGCAAATTAAAACTGTCATAGTAAAAAGTATTACAGTGAACTTGTTAGAGTATTAATGGAACAAACCCAGTTTCCCTCTCTTGACACAGTTATTAGGAACGATTGCTTCAGTGGTTTAAGAATTAAAAAGTTATGTTTGTTTGAACACCCTGTCAGAACCGTCATTTTCAGTATGATAAATTCCCGTACTGTTGTGTTTTGCGTGTGCTTTGGAACCTTCATAGAACACACTTTTTTTGGAATGTATTTGATAAGAAAGTTTAAACATTGTTTTCACCTCAATGTAGAAATACAGTGGTTTTGGTTTTTTTCTTTTAGTGCTGACAAAATAAAATACTCATTTTTGCATAAAAAGGTTCCTTATCCTTTTGCAGAATAAATTTTGTTTACTCTTTATACCAAAATTCAGTGAAGGCATTCTACAAGTTTTGAGTTAGCATTACATTTTAATATTTACTATTGCTACATTGTATAATTGAGTTTTAAATAATTCCCAGCTCATGACAATGCATTCCCTTTGCAAGAAACTGTTTGGCTTTCAAATTACCAGGCATAGATAATGGACAATAAAAAGTTGCTGTGTAAGGGAAATACAGCCTAAATTGTTTCTGAAAGCCAGAAATGATAACAAAGTTCAGTCATGCCAAAGTGAAATACTTTCTAGTGCCAGCTTTAACTTAAGTCATACTTTTTACAGGGACATATGCAGAAAATTATAGGAAACAGGTGTAAATTTTGCTCCATATTTAATGTAGAAGGTTATAGAATTTTCTCTTTTCAATCGCATTCAACCAAAAATTTCTCATAAAAGACTAATTTCTGTGTAAAGATTAGGGGCCGGGTGTGGTGACTCATGCCTGTAATCCCAGCACTCTAGGAGACTGAGGTGGGCAGATCACTTAAACTCGGGAGTTTGAGAACACTCTGGGCAACATGGAAAAAACCCATCTCTACCAAAAATGCAAAAAATTAGTCGGGCATAGTTGTGCACCTGCAATCCCAGCTATTCGAGAGGCTGGGGTGGAAGGATCCTTTCAGCCTGGGAGGCAGAGGTTGCAATAAGTCTAGATCATGCCACTGCACTTCAGCCTGGGCAAAAAAGCAAGACTCCATCTCAAAAAAAAAAAAAGTTACTTAAACCTAAGAAAACTATTAAATGGCTCTCAAAATTATTGCATCAATTTAAGATTCATAGTGGTTGAAGAGCACATATGCTCATCTAAGGTGAGGCAACCTTTAGACTTACCCTCACAGCCCAATCTGGTGCTGGATTTTGTCTGGGGGTTATAAATAAGGGTGAATCAGAAGACTTTGTACCTATTTCTGGCACTCCGACCTGACACCACTAGTTCAAAGAACTAAAGAAATTAGGTTATTTGGCTGGGTGCGGTGGCTCAGGCCGGTAATCCCAGCACAATGGGATGTCGAGGTGGCTGGATCACGAGGTCAGGAGATCAAGACCATCACGGCCAACATGGTGAAACCCCATCTCTACTAAAAATACAAAAATTAGCGCACCTGTAGTCCCAGTTACTTGGGAAGCTGAGGCAGGAGAATTGCTTGAACCTGGGAGGCGGAGGTTGCAGTGAACTGAGATTGCACCACTGCACTCCAGCCTGGCGACAGAGTGGGACTCTGTCTCAAATAAAAAAAAGAAAGAAATTAGGTGGTTTCCAGAACTGAGCTAAGAAGGCCAGAATAAAGTAGTAGCTGTTTTTGAAACAGAAATAGATCAGTTCCTGGCTTTGGGGTTAGTGATTAGATCAACAAATATTTTCCTTTCTGCGTTTCCTTCCTTTCATTTGCTTGGGCTGTCGTAAAAATTTTCATGAGGAAAAAAAACTGTTAGGATCTTCTCTTTGCCTCACATTTGAGGTGTTATGAAAGACACTGATTATGTAGGAAGCTGAGATAAAAGGGTAACTTAAGTCTAGGAGTTTGAATCCAGCCTGGACAACATAGCAAGACCCTATATCTTAAAAAAAGAAAGGAAGAAAGTGACTAGGAAACACTGGCTTTTTGTTTTGGTTTTTGTGTGGTAATATAATGAAAGCAATTTTCCTATCAGAGCAAATTACCAGATTTTTTAAATTCCAGTTTTACTCTTAACTTTCTGTAAAACTGAAAGATGTTTTAGTATTTCAATAACTTCCAAGAAATACTTCAAAACTGAATTTTCAAAATCATTATTAAATAACTAAATCTATTATATATATAGTTTGTGTGACAAAAAAGTAAAATATAGAGTTGATGAAAAATACTACATTTTTTCTGGTGTACTGGTATCATAATTGTTGAGATTAATAAATTTCTTTCCCCTCTAAGCTCTATTTCAAGCTTAAATATGTCCTATTTAGTGAGACTTAGAAAGTTTTGAAATTCTACCCCCTACACATATACTCGTAATTCCAGTTAATTGCATTCTTGAGAATTACTTTGTATGACAAACAAAACTTAGGGACTATTTTGAAATTTTATTAAAGTAATGATGAAAGCAAAATTTAACACAGAAGTATATATATATATATATATACACACACACACACACACTATATATATATATAAAACTATGTGTATATATATATATATATATATATACTATATATAGAGAGAGGTTGTATTAAAACTACATGTTTAACTCTCCAATACAAAATATACACATCCATTACAAGAATCACAAAACTTATATCTATAAGGACTCTTTAAACTCCAGAAGCAAAAAAAAAATTGCCAGTTTACCCCATGAGAATCAAAATTGCAATTTAAAAAAACTTTTTACAAATGAATTTTAGATACAGGCATTCTTTAACCTTAATATTTAAATTTCAAAATTATATAGAATTAATCCAAATCATATAGCAAAGAATTCTGAAAACTGAATGCACAATTGGTCACATGATCTTTAATGATCTGTACACTACCATCCTGCATATTGGTTTCTTTTATGCTGTCAAATCCAGGTATATTGTGAACTACAGTTTTGTTCAACAATGAAGATAGGTGATTTCCATCTATTTCTTTCTCTTCAGTTATTACTAGCTCGTTTAAGTTACCTTTTTCCTCACGTGAGCAAGTAGCACTTTTTTCTTTTATAAATTCAGATTGCATTTTTGACTCAGGTTGCTGAGCTTTTCCAAGTATCATTTGAGAAACATCAAGAGATTCTTGTTGAAAGCATGTAACTGAACCAAAGCTATCTATTTGTAGTGCTTTAACTGCTACAGATGAATCAGAATTAGTTGTAGAGGTTTTACAATGTTCTATATATTCCTTTTCAGTTAGATGACTTTCTTCATTTACGCTTTCTTCCTTTGCTTGTAGCTGATCAGAGTTACTACATTCTTGCAACTGTGTCAAGAGAAATAACAAATTAATAATTCTTTGAAATAATACAGAATTGTAGTAACTGCTAGAAATAAAAATTTTAACAGTTGTGAAGTAATAGCCCTCACAGACCTGCAGGTATACCTCCAGGTCTCTCTGTCAAAGTCATCCTCCAGCGTGAGCATGGTGGCTCACGCCTGTAATCCCAGCACTTTGGGAGGTCAAGGTGGGTAGATCACTTAAGGTCAAGAGTTCGAGACCAGCCTGGCCAACGTGCTGAAATCCCATCTCTACTAAAAACACAAAAATTAGCCAGGTGTGGTGATGCACACCTGTAATCCCCTTTACTTGGGAGGCTGAGGCAGGAGAATCACTTCAACCTGAAAGGCGGAGGCTGCACTGGGCCAATTTCGTGCCACTGCATTCCAGCCTGGGTGACAGAGTGAGATCTTGTCAAAAAAAGAAGGAAAGAAAGAAAAAAAAAAAGACAAGCAGCATATGAAGGATGACTTTTTTTTTTTTTTTTTTTTTTAGAGACAGTCTCACTCTGTCACCCAGGCTAGCATGATCTCTGCTCACTGCAGCCTCTGCCTCTTGCGTTCAAACGATTCTGCCTCAGCCTTCCAAATAGACAGGATTACAGGAAAGTACCACCATGCCCAGCAATTTTTTGTATTTTTAGTAGAGACAGGATTTCACCATGTTGCCAAGGTGGGTCTTGAACTCCTGACCTCAGGTGATCCGCCTGCCTCGGCCTCCCAAAGTGCTGGGATTACAGGCATGAGCCACCATGCCCAGCCTACCAGCAGTCATATTTTAACATTGTAAACCTGGCATTAATATCCGGATTATATTCTTTCACAACAGTAATCCACACTTTTCAACACGGTCTACAAAACTCTTTAACAGTTATTCTTTATTTTCTTTTTTTGAGACAGAGTCTCACTCTGTTGCTCAGGCTGGAGTGCAGTGGTGGGATCTCTGCTCACTGCAACCCCCGCCTCCCGGATTCAAGCGATTCTCCTGCCTCAGCCTCCCAAGTAACTGGGACTACAGGTACCTACCACCACACCAGGCTAATTCAATTATTCTTATAAGCACATTGTTGAATTTCTTGAATTTTCTTAAATTCCTCTAATTTTTCAGAGCCGCCCTTCTAATAACATGTCTGTCAATTGTGGTAGTTACTAAATTATTTGCATCTTCAATACTGAAGACTATAAAAATGACTAAAATTAAGGATGAATTAAAAATAATGTACAAATTGCATAACATAGTTCCCATGGTTTGAGAGTCAAAAAAAGCTGTGTATGTCCCTGCACTAGTACTCAAACTTCCTAAATGTAAGTTTCTCTTTGTTCCTCAATGTAGGATTATTTGGGGATTAAATGAAATAATGTGAAAATAAATAGCAAAGTGTTCAGCACATTGTAAATACACAGACAAAAGGCTTTGCTTAGCCAGGCGAGGTGGCTCACTTCTGTACTCCTAGCACTTCAGGAGGCCAAGGTGGGTGGATCACGAGGTCAGGAGATGGAGACCATTCTGGCTAACATGGTGAAACCCCATCTCTACTAAAAATACAAAAAATTAGCCAGGCGTGGTGGCACACGCCTGTAGTTGCAGCTATTTGGGTGGCTGAGGCAGGAGAATCCCATGAACCTGGGAGGCAGAGGTTGCAGTTTGCCGAGATTATGCCACTGCACTCCAGCCTGGGCGACAGAGGGAGACTCCCATCTCAAAAAAAAGAAAACAAAAAGGCCAGGCACGGTGGCTCAAGCCTGTAATCCCAGCACTTTGGGAGGCCGAGGTGGGCAGATTACGAGGTCAAGAGATCGAGACCATCCTGGCCAACATGGTGAAACCCCGTCTCTACTAAAAATACAAAAATTAGCTGGGCATGGTGGTGCACGCCTGTTGTCCCAGCTACTCGGCAGGCTGAGGCAGGAGAATTGCTTGAACCCGGGAGGCGGAGGTTGCAGTGAGCCGAGATTGCACCACTGCACTCCAGCCTGGCGCCTGGTGACAGAGCAAGACTGTCTCAAAAAAAAAAAAAAAAGAAAGAAAAAAAAAATCTTCTGTGGCCATCACTGAAGCAAGAGTGGCCAAAATGAAGATCAATCACTTTTTGACTTCTGACCAAAGCAAGAATCACAAAAGGCATTTCAGTGCACCTTCCCACATTTCCAAGTATTATGTCTTCCCCTCTTTCCAAAGAGCTGCGAGAGGAGTACAACATGCAATCCATGCCCATCTGAAAGGATGACGAAGTTGTACAAAGACACTATAAAGGTCAGCAAATTGGCAAAGTAGTCCAGGTGTACGGGAAGAAATATGTCATCTACATTGAACGGATGCAGCAGGAAAAGGCTAATGGCAAACTGTCCACATAGGCAACCCCGGCAAGTTGGTTACCACCAGGTAACAATGGACAAAGACCGAAAAAAGATCCTTGAACGGAAAGCCAAATCTCGCCAATCAGGAAAGGAAAAAGGCAACTACAAGGAAGAAACAATTGAGAAGATGCAGGAATAAAGTAATCTTATATACAAGCTTTGATTAAAACTTGAAACTAAGAGAAAAAAAAAAAGACAACATCACTATGCCCAGCCATTATGTACATTTTGTTTAAAGTTATGACATTAAGAAATCAATAATTTGTTAGGCTTTAACTCTGTAACTCTGTGCTTAGTTACTCTGCTATAGAGCCCACCAAATTCCTTACCTTTGCATTAATTTGAATCCTATTATCTGTAATCTGAAGAACTTCAATTAATGGTGGGGTTGAGGACATAGACTGTTTGAATGGAGCGCTCAGGACTTCTTCAAGAAACTCATTAACATTTTCTTCATTGACAAATAACCTTTCCTAAAATATAAAGGGAAAAAATACTCTGCCTTATAAGTCATACCTGACACAGTTGTATCTCAAAGCAGCTCAGAATTCTCAACATTGTTCAGAGTTACACTTTTTAAAATGTTTATTTTAGTGTTATTCCTGTGAGCTGTCTTGGAAAAATTTAAGTTTGGTATTGTACAGAGCAATAAGAGTTGAACAAACATAAATGTATAGGAAAAGAACCTAAAAGAAAGAGGTCTTGGTACTTTTTCTATTAAATCTGACCTTTTAGTATTTCTTTTTTTTTTTTTTCTTTTTTGAGACATAGTCTTACTCTGTCACCCTTCCTGGAGTGTAGGGCGCAATCTCGGCTCACTGCAACCTCCACCTCCCAGGTTCAAGCAATTCTCCTGCCTCAGCCTCCTGAGTAGCTGGGATTACAAGTGACCACCACCATATCTGGCTAATTTTTGTATTTTTGGTAGAGGCAGAGTTTTACCATGTTGGCCGGGCTGGTCTTGAACTCCTGACCTCAAGCTAACCACCTGCCTCAGCCTCCCAAAGTTCTGGGATAACAGGCATGAGCTACCGCGCCTGGCCCCTTTTAGTATTCCATAAGAATAACATTGTCTCAGCTGGCTCACGCCTGTAATCCCAGCACACTGGGAGGCTGAGGCAGAAGTTCAAGACTAGCCTGGCCAACATGGTGAAATCCTATCTCTACTAAAAATACAAAAATTAGCTGGGCATGTTAAAAGGCACCTGTTATCCCAGCTACTCAGGAGGCTGAGGCAGAAGAATTGCTTGAACCCAGGAGGCAGAGGTTGCAGTGAGCCTAGATCACGCCACTGCACTCCAGCCTGGGGAATAAGAGCAAGAATTCACCTCCGAAAAGAAAAAAAAGATAAAAGAATAACATCGTCTCCAGGACTGTAAATGGGCTCCCAAATACAAAATTTAATTCAGCCTTAGAACATTTCCTAATGAGGTAGCTAAGAAATGCACATAAAAGGATCTATTCAAATTTTGTGTGACCAGTTTGCATTTTAGTTCTTGGCCAGGTAATAGCCAATTACAGTGTTTTATTTAAAAGAAGGGGTGTTTTATTTGTTTGCTTGTTTTGTTTTTGAGACAGAGTCTTGCTCTGTCACCCAGGCTGGAGTGCAGTGGCATAATCACGGCTCACTGTAGCCTTGACCTCCCAGGTTAAAGTGATCCTCCCACCTCAGCCTCCAGAGTGCCTGGGACCACGGGGCCATGCCACCACTCTCAACTAATTTTTGTATTTTTTGTAGAGACAGAGTTTTGCCATGTAGCCCAGGCTGGCCTCGAACTTCTGGACTCAAGTGATCCATCTGCCTTGGCCCCCCCAAAGTGCTGGGGTTGCAGGTGTGAGCCACCACCACACCCAGCCCTTTTGCTGTTTGTTTGTGAGACAGGGTCTCACTTTGTTGACCAGGCTGGAATGCAGTGACACAATCATAGCTCATTGCAGCCTTGACCTCTCTGGCTCAAGCAATCTTCCCACTTGTGCCCCCAAGTACTGGGTACGTGGGACTACAGCCACATGCCACAATGCCCAGCTAATTTTTTACATTTTTTGGGCCAGGTGTGGTGGCTCATACCTGTAATTCCAGCACTTTGGGAGGCCGAGGCGGGTGGATTGCCTGAGGTCAGGAATTCGAGACTAGCCTGGCTGACATAGTGAAATCTGTCTCCTAAAAATGCAAAAATTAGCCGGGCATGGTAGTGTGTGCTTGTAATTCCAACTACTCGGGAGGCTGAGACAGGAAAATTGCTTGAACCCGTGAAGCAGAGGTTGCAGTGAGCCGAGACTATACCACTGCACTCCAACCTGGGTGACAGAGTGAGATTCTGTCTCAAAAATAATAATAATTTTTTTTTTTTTTTACATTTTTTGTAGAGACAGGTTTCACTTGGTTGCCCAGGCTGGTCTCCAACTCCTGGATTCAAGCTGTACTCCCACCTTGGCCTCCCAAAGTTCTGGGATTATAGGCATGAGCCAAGATTATAGGCACCCAGCCAAGAAGGGTATTATATTTTTAAGCATTGGGAAACTCTAGTGTGACATTAGCAAACTGTATAATTATTAATAAGAATGAAGTAGAGAGCATATATTCAGGGCAACTTGAATCTGTGCTCCAGAGAAAAGGTAAATTATGAAAAACATTAGGCTGCACACAGTGGCTCATACCTGTAATTCCAGCACTTTGGGATGCTAAGGCGGGCAGATTGTTTGAGCCCAGAAGTTCAAGACCAGCCTGGCCAACATGGCAAAACCCCCTACAAAAAATACAAAATTTAGCTGGGAGTGGTGGCATGCACCTGTGGTCCTAGCTACTCCAGAGGCTGAGGTGGGAGGATCACTTGAGCCTGGAAGGCTGAGGCTACAGTAAGCATTGATCGCACCACTGCACTCCAGCCTGGGTGAGACAGAGCAAGACCCTGTCTCCAAAAACAAAATTAAAAATGATGCAGATTTCAAGATGCTGACATGAAAAGATTTCCAAACTATTACTAGGAAATGCAAAAATCACTTTTTTACCTGAATCCCAAACACAAAGCAATTTGTTCATGTCAAGTGAATACAGGTATATAGTTAGGGTGTGGGGGAATAACCATATTAACCATATTTAAAATTACTTAATTTATAAAAGCAGTTCATTTTTGCCCCAAATAAACTATTTTCGTTGGTACTTTTATTTCAGCAATTTTTTTTCTTCTTTTTTTTTGAGATGGAGTCTTGCTCTTTTTTTTTTTCTCCCCCCGCCCCGCCCAGGCTTTTTTCCTTCATAGTGGCATGATCTCTATTCACTGCAGCCTCCGCCTCCCGGGTTCAAGCTATTCCCCTGCCTTAGCTTCCCAAGTAGCTGGGATTACAGGTGCCCACCACCATGCCCATCTAATTTTTGTATTTTTAGTAGAGACAGGATTTTACCCTGTTGGCCAGGCTGGTCTTGAACTCCTGACCTTGTGATCTACCTGCCTCAGCCTCCCAAAGTGCTGGGATTACGCCTGGCCCAATGTCAGCAAATTTTATAATTACAAAATAAATGCAGCCCATTATTTGGTCTAAATAGGTGGAAAATATCAGAAAGAAACAAGTTTCAAGTTCTCTTTTATTGAGAACATATATTCAGGGCAACTTGAATATGTGTCTACTGGGTTGTGGTCCTCTACTTTGGCCCAAATAAATTCTCTACATATATATTTATATCTCTTCCATTAAATAGTACTTAAAATTGTGAAAACCTACCAAACAAAAGTCAACCTTGGGAATAGCAAAATTTTACATTTAGAGTAATTGGCCTTGTTATTATTTAAAGATCCAGAATAACACTGCGTTACAGAAACATCCCCATCAAAAGCATTTCTAAGGTTCATGCCTCTGGAAAAAGACATCATCTTTGAATCATTACAAATAATACACCAAACTTTTTTTAGTTAATTCAAGGAAGATATAATGGAAATGGCTGATTAAAATAGAGAAGATTTGCATAAACTTGCCTTCTCACTCCAATGACTGATGAAATGACTAATGAACTGGAAAAGTTACTGATCTCAGAGGCCTGAAGATCTAGGAAAATTGTCAGTGAACATTGAAAACTTCAATTCATATATTTAGTATTTATTTGTAAAGTTCTGACCTTGAAAGCCACAAAATGCATAATGCATATAATATTATTACATTTGTTCCCCTACTCATGATTTTTTTCAAAAATTTAACACTTAAGAGCCTGGTCCAGTACAAAGTAAAGCAAAAGAGTTAGATGCTGGCCAAGTGCAGTGGCTCACACCTGTAATCCCAGCACTTTGGGAGGCCAAGGTTGGCTGATCATGAGGTCAGGAGTTTGAGACCAGCCTGACGAAACATGGTGAAACCCCGTCCCTACTAAAAATATAAAAATTAGCTGGTGTACTGGCATGTGCCTGTAATCCCAGCTATTCAGGAGGCTGCCTCTTGAACCCAGAAGGTTGAGCTGAGATCCCACCACTGCACTCCAACTGGGCAACAGAGCGAGACTCCATCTTCAGAAAAAAAAAGTTAGATGCTATTGTTCCATCAGCCTTACCAAATGTGATAATTAGGGAAGTAATGAAAAATCTATTTCAGGCTTCAAAGGTATAAAATAGTTGCCCTAATCCCATTTTCATCTAGTTTATTTGCTAAAATGTTAGCATACTTGAAAATCAGATTAAAATGTATTATTGAAAATTCTCTTAATGCTTGTCTACAAAGTTTTCTTCCCACACTGTAGGTTATTTTTATAATTACTAAAACAATTACAGGAAAACAACTGCCCTTTCCTAAATTTCCCACTTCTGATGACATAAACAGATACTCAGTTTCATATTTTATATTCTAACAAACTATCTTAGCTAGCCCAGCTATTTATTTTACGAATTTTGGAGGGTTTTCAATTAACCACTTCTCTTATAGATACCCAAACTCATAAATTACATATGTAACTTCTTAGCAAATTTTTAGAAAAACAACAGGAAAAAGTAAAATTTTCTAGTTTTGCTCATTACCCAAGCTGGAGTGCGTGGGAGGATTTTGGCTTACTGCAACCTTCACCTCCTGGGTTCAAGTGATTTTCCTGCCTCAGCTTCTCAAGTCGTTGGGATTACAGGCAAGGGCAACCATGCCTGGCTAATTTTTATATTTTTAATAGTGACTTTCCCCATGTTTGTCAGGCTGGTCTTGAAGTCCTGACCTCAGGTGATCCACCCGCCTCGGCCTCCCAAGGTGGCTCAGGCTTGTAATCCCAGGACTTTGGGAGGCCGAGGCGGGTAGGTCACCTGAGGTCAGGAGTTCGACACCAGCCTAGCCTAGCCAACATGGCGAAACCCCGTCTCTACTAATAGAAAAAGTAGCCAGGCATGGTGACACGCGCTTATAATCCCAGCTACTCAGGAGGCTGAGGCAGGAGAATCCTTTGAACCCATGAAGCAGAGGCTGCAGTGAGCCAAGACAGCACCGTTGCACTCGAGCCTGGGCGACAAGAGCAAAACTCCAGCTCAAAAAAATAAAATTAAAAAAAATCTTCCCAGAAGAGGTGCAGCTAGCGTAGGTACTATTAGGTTCAACAAATATTTATATCACAATTGTTAAATGCTAGTCATTGTGCTAAATACCAGTAGGGGCCTAAACATGATTAAAACAGATGCAAAGTGACATACTCTCAATTTAAAATAGCGCCAACGAGAGGACAATCCTGCCAAAATCTTAGACTAAAATTAAGCAGCACCATATGGCCCAAAAGGCATTTGGACATAACTGTGTAACTGGAAACGTAACTAGCCGAGTTACTTTTCCTCTTTGGAAGTAAATTATTATTATTCTCTATTTTCTAGGCTCGGAAAAAATGATTTACCAACTTCAAAGTTGCCCATTATAGAGTGCATTTTAAACTTACTTGTGTTACAAACCCCTTTTGAGACTATAACTAAAATTATAGCCCGTCTCCCTGGAAGAGATCACTCTCTTCTTTTTGCATACAATTCCAGAGATCTACTGCTCCCTAAAAGTTCATTCATGGTCTCCTTCATATTCAATGCATCTCAGAAAAACAACTGCATTCAGGGTAACTTTGAAGATTTGAAACCCATCCACCAGACACAATGTGTGTTTCTTTTCTTCTTCTTCAAAATACGTCCAACATGCACTGACATCTTTCATCATGTGCATCAATATCAAGTCATTACAAGAAAATAATGGAAAATGCTTTGTTTAGGATAAACTGAAAGGGTCCCTGTAATAGCTTTTTTTTTTTTTTTTTCTGAGGCGGAGTTTAGCTCTATCTCCCAGGCTGGAGTGCAGTGGCTTGATCTCAGCTCACTGCAACCTCTGCCTTCTGGGGTCAAGCGGTTCTTCTGCCTCAGCCTCCCGAGTAGCTGCGACTACAGGCGCGCGCCACCGCGCCCGGTTAATTTTTGTATTTTTAGTACAGACGGGATTTCATCATATTGGCCAGGCTGGTCTAGCTCCTGACCTCATGATCCGCCCGCCTCAGCCTCCCAAAGTGCTAGGATTACAGGAGTGAGTCACTGCGTCTGGTCAGTAATAGAAAATTTTTAAAGTAAGATGGGATATTTCAAATATTAGGACTCTGGAAAGAACTGTTACCTCCAAAGAATCGTTGTTTACACCATAATACCACTCTCTCCAATGTCCATGGCTCTCTGGAGATTTTGCCAGTTCTATCACTGCATTGTTTGAAGAAACGCTAATCACAGGTTCTATGGTACTCAATTTATTCTCTGGAGCAAATTGCAAAAAGAAGGAATAAACTAAATCTTGTGTGGAGAAGCGTAATTTGTACCAGAGGGGACTCAGATCTCCTTGAAGACTTTGCGGCTGGATCCGAGGCACTTGAATGACCAGAGTCAGGGTTTCTTCGTCCTGATTACACAGTAACGGAGGACACAAAGGTTCCCGGCTCTCAGTTCTGGGACCACCCATGGCGCGGGCGGAGCGCTCACCTCCCTTTTCCTCCGACTCCACGCGCGTCTCCACACTGCAATTTCCGCGCGCGCTCTCTCTTCCCGCAGAAGACTCCCAGGCTTGGCCGGGAAAGGACATACAAGCGGAGCCTCCACGACCAGGTGAGCTCTCTCCTCCGGGAGATGGCTTCTCTCCGCTGCCCGGCGGCGACCCCGCGTGCCAGCTCAAGTCCTGCTCCCCCAGCTCGGGGACATGCTCTTCTCCAGCGCCGGCCAGCTGGGGCGCCACCTCGGGGTCCCCCAGGGTGGTGACCCCAGAGCCTGCAGTCACAGCCACGCAGGTATCGTGGCCTCGGTCCTCGGCGCGACCTCCCGCGGGTCCCGCCTCCGCTGCGCGAGCGGAAGCGCAGGCCTGGCCGTCAGTTCCGGACAGACCCGCGGACTCTTCCGGCGCGGCCGCGGCGGTGACTGTGGGCTCCCGGCGCGCGGCCGGCAGCACCACTGGCAGCGTCACCACCAGCTGCCGCCGAGCCTTGTTAAACTGTGCCGTGCCGCGGCCGTCGTCCACTGGGTACGGGAGCGAGAGCCGCAGCCGGTAGTCGGGTTTCGTTGAGTCGAGGCACAGCAGCTTTCCTGTCACCTCCAGCGCCGCCTGCTCCGCTGAGCGCAACAACGGCAGTTCGATCGTGACCACCAGCTCGTGGGGCACTGGGCTCGGGACTGAGTCCCGGGAGCAGCGGTAATCCTGGAGGTCCACGTGGTGGCGCTGCACCACGCTGTAGCGAGGCTCGGTGGGAGCGGGCCGCAAAGCCGCTTCCGGAGGGGAGGGCGCCCGGGGCCCGGGGGCTGCAGAGTTTCCGGCGGCTGCCGGGTACTGGTAGGGGTAGGGGAAGTCCGGGAGAGGACCCTTCAGCTCCCCTTCGGGCCTGGCTGGGATACCCCCGGGCAGGGGCGTGCGTAGCACCGCAGCCTCCCGGGTCCCCTTATATTTGGCCTTCAGGGTCTTGGCATTCCTGCGGTCTAGCTTCACGCCGAACTGCTTCTCGACTGCCTCTAGGGCCGTGGTGTCCAGCATCTGACGGAAGCCCTCGTGTCGCCGGGCCAGTGCGAGCGCGTCTGGATGGAAGACCACGTCGTAGACCATGTAGCGGGTTCTACTGCGCCCCGCGTACTCGCGGCCGGGCGCCAGGCTGTAAGGCAGGGACCAGTGGCTGCCAGGCGCTGCGCCCTGGTCGCCCCTGGAGCCGGGCCGGCTGCTGGGTGCGCCAACCAGCGCGTTGCTGCAGACGTTCACGAAGCAGCGCCGCGCTCCGTCCAGGCTGGTGCGCAGCACATAGCCCGGCTCTGGGTGCACGAACCGCACCTCCACCCCTCGCTCACGCTCCAGCATGGTGATCTCCGCCTCGTAGAGTCGCCGGTTCTCGGGGTCGGTGAGTTCCTCGGCGTACTGGGAGAACATTCGCCGGAACTCCGGGTCCTGGAAGGCGGAGGTGAGTCGCTGGACCTCCTCTCCGCTCAGGTCCAAGTCCTCCAGCGACGAGGAGGCCGCCGCTTTGGCCATACTGCCCTGTGGCTCCTCGTCCTTGGGCCAAGGGGGATCAGCCTGAAACTGGGTTGAGGGATGCGCCTCACAATCTCTGGGCAGCGGAGAGTGTCGGTAACGGCTGGAAAATTGAGCCTTGAGTAGCGCGTGCTTGTTGCCATAGGGACACCACTAACATTCGGGAGGAGGGGTAGAAATCATGGTGGAATAGTGGAAATGCCAGAAATAGCCTCTTAGTTTCTTCAAACCAACCCAACACCGTGCTTTCTGTTTTATATTCCTGTGCCATGGTACAGTTATTTCTGCAGAATAACTATTGTAGTAACTGTCATAATTTCCAGCAGTATGTACATTATCCCATTCATTGTTCACACTACTTGAAGATAAACCTCATCCCCATTTCACAAACAGAAAGATGGGATCTGAGAAGCTGGACGAAGGTCCCATAGCCAGTGTATCAACAGGCTAATTCAAACCTGTCTGGCTGCTTTTCTTCACTTTGCTAAACTAACATTTCAATCTTTTTTTTTTTCTTCTTCTGAGATGGAGTCTCGCTCTTTCTCCCAGGCTAGAGTGCAAAGGCGTGATCTCGGCTCACTGCAACCTCCACCTCCCAGGTTCAGGTGATTGTCCTGCCTCAGCCTGCCGAGTAGCTGGGATTACAGGCACCCGCCACCACACTCGGCTAATTTTTGTATTTTTAGTAGAAACAGGGTTCCACCATGTTGGCCAGGCGGGCTTGAACTCCTGACCTCATGTGATTCGCCCGCCTCGGGCTCCCAAAATGCTGGGATTACAGGTGTGAGCTGCGGCGCCCGGCCAACATTTCAGTCTCAGTCTTCCTCCTTTGCATTTTCTGGCGATTCTATTATAACATTTACCCAGTAAAAACTCATTTGGGGCAAGACATATGGGCAGGCTATTCATAAATAATTACCAGTGGCCCATGGACTTATAAAACTTTAACTTCATCTATAATAAAATGCAAATATACCACATGTAAACTACCAAAATAGCGAAGATTCTTACAACTACTGTATTTCCTTAGGGTGGAAACAGACTTTAGTAAGATCATTCTAGAGAGCAGTTTTGCAATTGTATCAATACCATTTAATTATTTACATATGTATGTATGTATTTTTGAGACAGGTTCTCACTCTTGCCCAGGCTGGAGTGCAGCTTCAACCTCCTGGGCTCCAGCAGTCCTCCTGCCTCAGCCTCCCAAGTAACTGGGACTACAGGTATGTGCCACCATGCCTGGCTAATTTTTTTAAGTTTTTGTAGAGATGGGGGTCTTATTATGTTACCTATGCTGGTCTCCAACTGCTGGACTCATGTGATCATCCCGCCTCGGCATCCCAGAGTGGTGAGATTACAGGATTACAGGCTTGAGCCTCCACACCAGTTCCAAAACATTTTTTTTTTTCTTGAGGCTGAGTCTTGCTCTATTGCCCAGGCTGCAGTGCAGTGGTGCAATCTCAGCTCACTGCAACCTCTGCCTCCTGGGTTCAAGCATTTCTCCCTGCCTCATCCTCCCAAGTAGCTGGTATTATAGTCACCTGCCACCATGTCCGGCTAATTTTTGTATTTTCAGTAGAGATGGGGTTTCACCGCGTTGGCCAGGCTGGTCTCCCACTCCTGACCTCAGTTGATCCGCCCACCTCAGTCTCCCAAAGTTCTGGGATTACAGGCGAGAGTCACTGTGCCTGGCCCTGGTTACAACTGTTTTCTCATTTGCCATATGCCTTCTCATTTTCTGGTGTTTAAAAATCACCGGGACCGAGGTGGGGGGATCACGAAGTCAGGAGATCAAGACCATCATGGCTAACACAATACTCTTAGAACATTCTTAAGGTAACATCATTTATGATACTAAAGATTTGAGAAGAATCTACAAATTCAACAATGAAACTGATTGAGCAGGTTTTGGTAGAGGACACCACAGTATTTTGTGCAACCATTCAAAATGATCTTAGGGAATTATATTCATTTACTGGAGTCGTTATTTATTAATTGGTAATTGGTCAATTCAGTGATCATTTTTCTGTTCTCAGCAACATTTAACACAGTTGATGTTGGCATTACCTCAGTAACAAGACACTTTCCAGATTTCTATCTCATCAGTCACTCTCATAGTTTTGCTCTGTAGTTATCTACTTCTTTTCAGCTTCAATGTGCAAATGCCCCAAAACTGGGACCTAATCTCTTCACATCTATACTCTCCTTCAGAAATATGTTTACACTCACATTCAGGTTTTAAACTACTATATCTTGGAATGGAGCAATTCTCACAAAAAATAAAAAAGAACTCCTATATCCAGCTGTACATTTGAGGTGCCAATTTGAATCATTAATGCATAAGCCACTCAAGCTTGAAATGACCAAGATCAGAATTCCTGTCTCTTCTTTCCCAAACCACTGCCTCATCTTACGGTCTCTTGGAAGCATTCAAAGCAGTTGACTGCCCGCTCAAAACACATTTTTTTCATATTTTGCGGAACTCCAAGCTCTCCCATTTTCCTCCTCCTCTATGCTCCTGCCAGTTCTGCAAATGTGGGAGTCACCCAAGGCTTTGTTCATCAGTCCTCTTACCTAATCACATTTCTTCCAAGATGTCTATCTGAGCCTATCGTTTTAAACGCCATCTATGTTCACATTAGTCCTTTCAACAGATGTTTATTGTGTGCGTATTGCACTTATATGGGTAATTAACAAGGATGTCAAGCAGTTGGCATTTTTCTTTTTTTTTTTTTTTTGAGACCGAGTCTCTGTTGCCCAGGCTGGACTGCAATGGCACGATCTCGACTCACTGCAACCTCCATCTCCTGGGGTCAAGCTTTTCTCCTGCTTCAGCCTCCCGAGTAATTGGGATTACAGGCGCCCACCACCATGCTCAGCTCATTTTTGTATTTTTTAGTAGAGACAGGGTTTCACCATGTTGGTCAGGCTGGTCTCAAACTCCTGACCTCAGGTGATCCACCCACCTCAGCCTCCCCAAAGTGCTGGGATTACAGGCATGAGCCACCACTCCTGGCTGGGTTTTTTTTTTTAAAACCATGGTTTATATTGGGTATTTTCTTGTTTTAGGGTATGGCTCTCCCATTTGAAAAGGTAAATAAACATCATGAAATCTAGGACCTTGCCTTTCTGGTTTACCACTGGATACTCTGATGCCTAGAACATTATTGGGCAGGCAGATGAATTAACATAGTAAAGAAAAAAGCAAGTTTAGTATGTATAGTATGATCCCAAAATATTTTTGTAGGAAAAAGTTTATGCATAGGGAAAAATCTGGAAGCATATTTACCAAAATATTAACAATATTTCTGATAGTAGAATTGCAGGTCATTAAAACTTTTTTCTGTGTTTGCTTATATTTTATATATATATATTTTAAGAGACAGGGTTTCACCATATTAGTCAGGCTGGTCTCCAACTCCGAACCACAGGTGATCCACCCACCTCAGTCTCCCAAAGTGCTGGGATTACAGGTGTGAGCTGCCACGCCCAGCCATATTTTATAATTTTCTATGAACTTGTTTAGTAAAAAGGTTAGAACACCCTACACTTAGGTCTTAAAGCTTTGCATCTAAAATAACTTTGAGACATAAAGATGAGAAAAGGTTTAAAGCACCTGAGGGCTGTGTAAAATTGCACTCTTTTCTATTTTAACCCTGAAGTCAATGAGCATAACCAAGGATTAGTTGTCAACTTACTTTCATTCACCTTTGTAACACCAAAATTCTGGACGTTTGACCTTAAAAAAGGCATTTCCAACATGAACACACCATACTTCTCAAAAGAAAACAAACTACAACTGGTTGTTTAGAAGTGCTAATGGCCTTTAAAGTTACTGAACCCTCTGAAATTATGTGTAGGGTCAGACTCGGTTTGGGGGACATGGTTCTCAGTAGAGGCCTATAGGGCCCATAGCTTTCATTAGATTCTCTGAGGGTTCCTGCCTTCTGTTTTGCCAAATTTCTTACTATGTAATGTTCTCTTTCCCAGAAGAATCTCTTTGGGAAAAGACAGTGTGGAGTTGTGGAGGAGCCCACTTGCGCAAAACAATGTTCTCTTGTTTAAAATTCATCCATTGAGGAAACCTATCCTTAAAAAAATTAATGAGCCAGGTACAGTGGCTCATGCCAGTAATCCCAACACTTTGGGAGACCGAGGCCTCCCAAAACACCTGAGGTCAGGAGTTTGAGACCAGCCTGGCCAACGTGGTGAAAACCTGTCTCTACTAAAAATATAGAAATTAGCCAGGCATGGCGGCTAGGCGCCTGTAATCCCAACTACTCAGGAGACTGAGGCAGGAGAATCGCTTGAACCCAGGAAGTGGAGGTTGCAGTGAGCCTAGATCACACCATTACACTCCAGCCTGGGCGACAAAAGCAAAACTCCGTCTTAAAAAAAAAAAAAACATGACTTTTGGAGGGAGAAGCTCCTAAGTATTAGATCCATTCTCAGTTATTAACCCCTGTATGCAGTCTTATCCACAAATCCTGCATTTGCTCTCTTTAGATGCCATTTGCTCTCTTTATTGGGAAGTGGAGGTCCAGAGATGGCTGAGACCTACAGACGTAAGTGAAACATTGTGATATTACATGCCAAATCCTAATACGTAACAGCTTCATGAAACAAAACTTTATGCACTGGAATGTTCTATTCTGCTGAGACTCATTAATATTTCAACTCACTGATCAGTTTGACCTTCAGTTTGAAACACTACTCTAGATAAATGATCTTATATAGCTCCAGTAGCATGTTCAGTAAGGAAGTAGAGGAAGGTAAGACGATACCATGCTGCTCAAGTGCCCCTGGGCTCCAGTCAGATAACCCAACATCAACTCTGCTGCAACCCTTACCAGCTGTGTAACTTTGGGCAACTTATTTAACCTCCCTATGCCTGTTTTCTTCATGTATAACTAAAGGTAATAGTGAACCTAATGAAGAATAAATTTCACAGTGAATAAGCACTTAGCACAGTGCCTAGCATAGTAAACATTTAATACATGTTTGGAGCAATGGTCCTGTAAACCTTTCCACAACCCCCCAGCCCTTCTTTAATTCAGAAAACCTATCTGAAAATGAAGCCCAAAGTGTAAGCCCAAGGAAAACAATAAAAGTGGAGCTTCAATGGTTGACTAGAGTGGGTAGAGGCCTTGGCTGCAGAGAAAACGCATATATGTGCACAGGATCAGAATGAAATATCCCATTTTAATTTCACCTTTCCTGCTCTGAGCTACCCACTACAAGAGGTTATTCACAGATGGTGGTAAATGATTGCGGCTCACCTGATTTTGCTTAATAGGGATATTTTATGGATCACAAAATTAAATTCCTGTGCCTATAAGGCAGAGAAAACAGTTCATGAGCACAATCCAGTCTGTAAGCATGTCTTCTTGGGTTGCAACTTTTTTGGGTTGCAAACTGCTGTTTAAATTAGTGCTTGCGAAGTCAGGATATTGTCCCAAAAAATCCAGATTTCTCTAAAATGGCCCCATAGGCCTGGTTTCCTGCATGGCTGCAGGTGGCTAAAAAATGCTTCATTTGGTCTGTGCAGTCTCTGGCATTCTGTGGGTTCCCTACAAAGACCACAAGTTTGCTTTCCTTGTAGAGAACTCTTACCACTGTCCTTGTGTGTTAACAATCTGGCTCCTGCTCTGAGGTGCACCTTCACTTGATGAGGGTGCCTGATAAACAGATTGCCGCAGTGAGATCGGCCAGGCTTCACCTGATTAAACACTGAGTTGAGAACACGCTGTCTCTATTCTTTACCAAAGCAAAGTCCAGACACTCTTTCACACTGGCTCCTCTGCTATGCCTTCTTACAGACCTTGGCTTTCTTTTCTGTCTCTGGATGATGTTAATCCTCACCTGGTTCTAGCTCCTGACTTACCTTATTCTGATTGCCTGCTTTTGGCAACTTACTGCTCTGAGTTAACTGCCTTGCTCCACTTCACTTCATCTCGTTTAACCCCTTAATGCACCCTATTTTCACTATGTTCTTGAAAAGATCTCAGAATACCTCTGCTTTAATTATAAAAGCAATTATATATCCAGTGAGTGAGAGGACACCGTGATTTCCATTTCCATTTATAAACCGCCCATCATCACTCATATTTAGCTCCGAGTCTCATAACTGGACCAGCAGCCTTGCATGTCTATTTTACTTCCACTTTCTAGGCCCAAACTGTTTAAATTTATGCCTTAATTTCATCTGTAAACTTGAATTTTACCAGGTTATTCTTGAAATTAAAACTAAACCTCTTCTAACATTAGGTTCCTTCTAACATTCTCCCAGTTTTCCATCCCTAAACCACATATCAGATCATCATGTCCTCCTTGCTGCTAAATTCACTTATCACTGCATTCATATTAAATTTCCTTGACGTATGTCTCCTTCACTGTGTCATTTTTATATTTTGTTATTAGTGCCTTTTCTCTCAAAAGCTAATTCTCTTTGAAAGCAATGTCTTCCAGTCTAGGCTCTTTTTTTTTTTTTTTTTTTTTTTTTTGTTTTGGTAGACAGAGTGAGACTCTGTCACCCAGGCCTGGAGTACAGTGGCCTGATCTTGGCTCACTGCAACCTGCGCCTCCTGGGCTCAAGCAATTCTCTAATCTCAGCCTCCCAAGTAGCTGAGACTACAGGCATGTGCCATCACGCCCGGCTAATTATTGTATTTTTAGCAGAGACAGGGTTTCATCATGTTGGCCAGGCTGGTCCCAAACTGCCTTCCTTAGCCTCCCAAAGTGTTGGGATTACAGGTGTCAACCACTGCACCAGCCTATAATTTTTAATTACTTATGTTTGAAACATTCTTTGCACCTCTGTCTAACAACTTTCTATCATGCAAATTCATTTCTGGGCTCCTGTTTCATCAATTCCATAAACTACATGCTAAGTAAAGGGGTGATGTTGAGTGATTACGTACAAAATAACATACTGCTATGGTTTGAATGTGTCTCTTAAAAAGCATGTAATAAAAACTTAATCCCCAATGCAACAGTGTTGGGAGGTAGAAAGGACCTAGAAACAAGAAGAGGTGCTTAGTCCGTGAGGATGGAGTGAGGGATTCAGGCCTTTATCCTAGGAGTGGGTTCATTATCTTGGGAGTAGTTTCCTTATAAAAGGGTAAGTTTGGTTCACTTTTCTCTCTCTCTCACTCTTTGCCCTTCTGCTATGGAATGTATAGTAAAAAGGCCCTTGCTAGATGCTGTCCCCTCAAACCTGGACTGACCAACCTCTAGAACGATGAAGCAGTAAATTTCTGTTCATTGCATGTTACCCAGTCTGTCTGGTATTCTGTTATAGCAGCATAAAATAGACTAAGACACACACTGATTCAAAATAAACATTGTCATCTAAATGTAAAAACAATGGGAACTATGTTTTTAAATTTCCAGTGCCAAAAGATAATCATGTAATGAATATCATACTGATATCATGAAGCAAAGGTTTTCACTATCATTAGAATAAATTCTGTGACTTGAATGGGAAAAAATTTTTGCAATCTACCCATCTGACAAAGGGCTAATATCCAGAATCTACAAAGAACTACAACAGATTTACAAGAAAAAAACAAACCCATTCAAACGTGGGCAAAGGATATGAACACTTTTCAAAAGAAGGCATTTATGAGGCTTACAAACATATGAAAAATGCTCATCATCAGTGGTCCTTAGAGAAATGCAAATCAAAACTACAGTGAGATACCATCTCATGCCAGTTAGAATGGCGATCATTAAAAAATCGAGAGACAACAGATGCTGGAGAGGATGTGGAGAAATAGGAACACTTTTACACTGTTGATGGGAGTGTAAATTAGTTCAGCCATTATGGAAGACAGTGTAGCAATTCCTCAAGGACCTAGAAATAGAAATTCCATTTGACCCAGCAATCCCATTACTGGGTATATATCCAAACGATTATAAATTGTTCTGTTATAAAGACACATGCACACGCATGTTCATTGCAGCACTGTTTACAATAGCAAAGACCTGGAACCAACCTAAATGCCCATCGATGACAGACTGGACAAGGAAAATGTGGCACATATACACCATGAAATACTATGCAGCCATAAAAAATGATGAGTTTGTGTCCTTTGTAGGGACATGGATGAATCTGGAAACCATCATTCTCAGCAAACTGTCACAAGAACAGAAAATCAAACACCACATGTTCTCACTCATAGGTGGGTGTTGAACAATGAGAACACATAGACACAGGGAGGGGAGCATCACACACTAAGGTCTGTTGATGGGGGGAATTGGGGTGGGACAGTGGGGAGCAGGGAGGTTGGGGAGGGATAACATGGGGAGAAATGCCAGATATTGGTGACGGGGGGATGGAGGCAGCAAGCCACATTGACATGTATGTAACTGCAACAATCCATGTTCTGCACATGTACCCAGAACCTAAAGTGCAATAAAATACATATATATATATTTAAAAAAGAGTAAATTCTGTGACTTAAAAAGCAATTTGAAAATTGCGGAATATACTATTAGGGCCCTTATGGTGATTAAATTAAAAAAAAAAAACCCTAAGTTAAACTAAAACAATGATTAAGAAATTTTTATATATGTGTGGTTTTTCTTACAATGAACACAGGGTATGATTAGTATAGAAGTAAACTTTTGATTTTAAGTGCAAATGTACAGAGCATATCTTCAGGCCAGGCACAGTGGCTTACACCTGTAATCCCAGCACTTCAGGAGGCCAAGGCAGGCAGATCACAAGGTCAGGAGTTGGAGACCAGCCAGCCTGGCCAACATGGTAAAACCCTGTCTCTACTAAAAATACAAAAATTAGCTGGGTGTGGTGGCATATGCCTGTAATCTTAGCTACTGGGGAGGCTGAGGCAGGAGAATCACTTGAACCCAGAAGGTGGAAGTTGCATTGAGCTGAGGTCTCACAACTGCACTCCAGCCTAGGCAACAGAGCAAGACTCTCAAAAAAAAAAAGGGAAAAGAAAGAAGAGTTTATACATACTCACATATTTTTCCTCCTCCCCCTCCTCTTTTTTTTTTTTTTCTGTGCCCACCTGCAACTGCCTTGATCGAGTTAAATTCTTTTTTTTTTTTTTTTTTTGATGGAGTCTTACTCTGTCCCCCAGGCTGGAGTGCAGTGGCGCAATCTTGGGTCACTGCAACCTCCGCCTCCTAGGTTTAAGTGATTCTCCCTGCCTCAGCTTCCCAAGTAGCTGGGATTACAGGTGCCTGCCACCACATCTAGCCAATTTTTGTATTTTATTTGTTTTTAGTAGAGATGGGGTTTCACCATGTTGGCCAGGCTGGTCTCGAACTCCTGACCTCAGGTGATCCACCCACCTCAGCCTCCCAAAAGTGCTGGGATTACAGGCATGAGCCACCACACCCAGCCCATATCCACATATTTTTCTTAAGAGACTGCAGAAAATATTTTTCCTGGAAAACTTTCTAAGGTATACCATCATATTTGTCAGTATCAAAATTTCACAAAATAAAAATGTAAGCAGAACATCCTAAAGTTTACCATAATTTTATTGTAATATCAGAATCACAAAACATACAGAATTAAACAGAAAACTGATGAATTTTCTTTCTTCAGATGGTCTTTAAGAATCTCAGAAGCCTTGAAGTTTGCTGAAAATACAAAAAAAAATTAAATCTTTGGAAACCTAAGTTGTACACTTACTACTATTTGTAGTTAATTTTTAAAAATAGGTGTAGTTAACTGATTTTAAAAAATAGGTCAATACATACACAATGTTTAAAATTCAAAAGGACACTGTAAAAAATAAGTCATCTTCACACCTCGTTTTTGCTCCCCAAAAAACAAGTAGATGTCCTTTTTTTTTTTTTTGAGACAGAGTCTCACTCAGTCACTCAGGCTGGAGTACAATGGCACAGTCTCAGCACACTGCAACCTCGGCCTCCTGGGTTCAGGCAATTCTCCTGCCTCAGCCTCATGAGTTGCTGGGATTATAGGCACATACCACTATGCCCAGCTAACATTTGTGTTTTTAGGAGAGATGAGGTTTCACCATGTTGGAGAGGCTGGTCTCGAACTCCTGACCTCAGGTAATCCACCTGACTTGGCCTCCCAAAAAGTGCTAAGATTACAGGCATGAGCCACCAGACCTGGCCGACAATTTATGTCCTTATAAAGGTAGTCTAATTAAATAAAAGATAGTCTAATCATATATAAGCACATGTATATGTGGGCTTATACTTTAAAAACATACATAAGTGATAGGATATTATGCATACTTTTTACACCTTTTTTCCATTAGTAGTAAATACATTTATCCATATTTAATTCTTTAAAGCTTTGAAATTTAAGTAAATCAGAAAGTTCGGAATAAGTACAAACATTTTGATTTATAAATTTTTTTAAATTTCTTGATATGAAAACTGCAATAAAAAGGCTGGACACAGTGGCTCACATCTGTAATCCCGGCATTTTGGGAGGCAGAGGCTGGTGAATCACCTGAGGTCAGGAGTTCGAGACCAGCCTGGCCAACATGGTAAAACCCTGTCTCTACTAAAAATACAAAAATTAGCCAGGTGTGGTGGAGTGCACCTGTGATCACAGCTACTTGGGATGCTGAGGCAGGAGAATCGCTTGAACCCAGGAGATGGAGGCTGTAATGAGCCAAGATTGTGGCACTGCACTCCAGCCTGGGCGACAGAGCAAGACTCTGTCTCAAAAAAAAAAAAACTGCAATAAAAAGTCAGTTGTGCCTACTTCTACATGATGTACCTACTTGTATGCATAAGCTTAAGTATACCTGTAGGATAAATTCATAAAATGGAATTGTTGGTGTAGGCATTAATAAATCTTGTCAAATTGCCCTCCATAAAGGTTTTTGCCATTTTTTCATTCTGACCAACTACATGTGAGAATGTGTATTTCCTCTACTACATCACTAATCATTGTGTTTTTAAATAAAACTATTTAAAGTCATGTTAAAATAGGATTAATTTCATCAACTTTGACTACATTTCTGTGATTAATTCCACAATATAATTTCACAAATATTCTAACAGAAGGCTTCTTGGGACAAACTAAGTGGCAAGAACACCAGATTATTTCAATTTATCTTGAAACTTTTGTTTTCCCAAAACATAAGCATCAATTTGTTTGATCTAGCATTGAAAAGATTCCCCAGTTATCAATCTAAAAATCATAGTTTGGAAATTATGTCAATGCTTTCAGCATCTGAGACCACAGCAGATAAAGGAACCAACTATTTCAGTTTGACAGGGAGCATCAACTACAAGTACCATGAGACAGGGTCTTGCTGTCACCCAGGCTAGAGTGCAATGCGGACCAATCACAGCTTACTGCAACCTTGGACTCCCAAGTTCAAGCAATCTTCCCACCTCAGTCTCCCCAATAACTGTGACTACAGGTGTGGGCCACCATGCCCAGCTAATTTTTTGTAATTTTTTGTAGAGAGAGGGCCTTGCCATCTAGGCCCAGGCTGGTCTTAAACTCCTGACTTAAGCCATCTGCCCACCTTGGCCTCCCAAAGTGCTGGATTACAGGTATGAGCCATCGCAAATGGCTGCAGACTATTTTATGTCTGCAAGTTTTATGCCAAATCTTACTTTGGTAAAAGT